TTGCAGGATCAAGTCAATATAAGCCAGGTCAGAAGTTTTAGTTGCAATTTCAGGGCATATTTAAGGTCATAAACACCTCTTGGAAATGGGTCTGTGTTGATCTCAATATTTCTTTTTTCATAAATGCAAATATTAATGTTGACATTGTCAGATCTATCTCTTTAGGGTTGGTTATGGCATATAAACAAGACAACCTTATTCCTGTGACATTCCTTTTTTGGCTACAAGGAGACAAATTATTCACAGACACCTAAAACATATTGCCACCTACATTTATTTTGGTTCTAACACATCTCAGAAAAAAAACTGAAAATCCTGAGGATAGTCTGTCAGGTACCTTTTTCATTTATTGCATTAGTTTTTCTAATGAACATAATGAGATTTTAGCAGAAAGGTGGCTGAACAAGATAAGTTTGATCTTGGCTTGTCTATACCTTAGAGAGCATTCTGTCAAGATTTGATAAGCAAATAAATTTTTTTTTCTAGCTACTTTTGATTAAAATGAGACAATTGTTTGCTCAGATCACTTGTATGCTTTCTTACTATCATTTGAACTCACTAAGATAATTTAATTAAAAATAAGGCAAAAAAAGTTTAGCTCTGTGAAAACTGTAAGGAAAAAAGGAATATTTTTTCAAAATATGTATATTTTGACTATTATTTGAATACACCACCTAATGTCACAGTCATTGAGTGAAGCTACAGAATTAGAAAATACTCCACAGCATGCAAGCTAATGTGGGGTGAGTAAAATTCCTTTCTGCTGGCCTGCCCCCTAGATAAATACTAATCCTTTTATCCATGTCCTCTCAGGAAAAGCCTTAGCTTTCCTATGTGCCCTAAAATCTGATAGTAATACTGCATTGGGCAGCATAAGAAGTGGCCTGTCCCCAGAGCATGACCACTTACTAGTCTTAAAAGAAACAAATTTAGGGACTGTTATTACAAGTAACTTGCCTGCCATTGCAATGCATTGAGAAAGAGAAGTTAGATGTCGTGACTAGGTATAGATGTTATACCGGTGTAGGTGATTGGAAACCAGTCTGTACCTGTACCTGTACCAGAACAGAAGTTCAATGCACATAGAGTGGTTTAAAAAAGACAGAATCTGATCTAAGATAGACTTGCATCAATATGGCATCAGACTTACTTGATTTAAGTTAGATCACTCTATCTAACTTCTGTAGCAGATCTCCTACTGACTTGTTAGGTCCCTGTCCTCTGGCTCCTCAGGCACCTTTGCGGTCCCCCGCAAATCTCACCTTTCAGGGAGGCATGCTAGCAACCAGCCTGCACTTGGATGCTCTGGCCGAGTGACCAGCCAGCCCTGCTTTGGCTCTCGCAGACCTGAGTCAGCACAGTGGCTGACACTGCCAGGGGAGCAGGGTGGGGAGGGGTGCTTGGCTGTGCCCAGCAGCCTGGTCCTGCTCCCTGGGATTGTGCCCCCCTGCAGAGACATAGGGGTCCCTGTGTAGGTGTTTGAGAGTCCCCCCAGGGTTGCCAGGCATGGCCAAGCAGGATTGCTTCCACTGTGTGCTAATGCTGTCAGGGGAAGCTAATGCTGTGGGGGTGGGGAGGAGAGGGCTGCTCAGCTGGACCCAGCAGCCAATCATAGGTGGCACAGCTGGTCGGCTGTGCTCAGCGGGCCCTGGCAACCCAGGGAGCTTGCTGGGAGGTGTGCAGAAGTGGCCCCAACTGGCCTCACCCAGTGCAGGCTGCCTGTGTGTGGTCCCCCTTCCCCCAGCCAAAGGATGAACTTGTGTTCTGTTTACTACCTATCTAATCTAGGGCACTTAAAGTATATAACTTTTGCTTTTGCCTCAGGCTTTTTGAACATCTATTCTTGGCCCATATTTTTATTTAGGGCTTTGGTTCTCGTTATTAGGCTGTTGGAGACCTTGTTAATCCCACATGCCCATTATCTTGTCTTAATTGTGTGAACCTCTTTTGTAGCTGGTATGCTCAAAATACTTCTCTTGTACTGCCTGACTTGAGCTCCAGCTAGTTTAGACTGTTCAAGTTCTCAATCTTGGCGAAGACCTAAGAAGGCAGAGAGGCTGCATTGCTTGGCTCCATGCCAATAACATACAGGTATTTTATCTGTGTGCTGGTAGTCTGACTTTCCTTCCAGTTTTCAACATATATACCATATTTAACTTATTTTTATATGTTCTAGAATGCTGAATCCTTAACATTTCTTACCATAAATTATTTTAGCTTGGATAATTAGTAATTTGAAACTCTTCTTGTAATTTTGTTTTAGGAATTACAGAACATGAATATAGAACTGTGTAATCAATAACATTTCTGAACACTTTGTACAGTATGAAAGTCACCATAACTGTTTGTCATAATGTTGTTGATTGTTTAACTAAGCAGAAGGAAGTCTCCTATCACTTGTTCATTAGCTTATTAGATCTACGTACAAGTGTATCATATAATCCTTATTGTAATTTGAAATGTAAAATGAGAGTTCTAAGTTCTCACCATAGCTGATTTGTAATGTTATTTTAATATTATTCTTCTTTCATCAAAACAAATGCCTTCCTGTCTTAATTATTTGAATGCTGAAATGTTGGTATCAAGAAGTAGTGTAGTTTCGAATAATAATGAAAAAAAATGTGACTAAAACCTCAATTGTATTTGGGCAACTTGAAAAACAAATGTTAAGAATCAGACCATTAAGGCAGAAAGTCACAGAAGTTATGTTAATTATTTCCAAACTAGGAGAATAATAGTGTGTCCTGGCATGATTTCTGTATATTGAAAGAAGGTTATGTAACAGACAAAGAATTCTTCCTGTATGGAACCAAAAAGTACCTCTTTTGTTAGAAAATATATATGCTAATACAAGCAATTCTGTTAAAAATATTTTGTAAGTAATATAGCAAATTCATTTTTCATTGAACTGTATTAATTTGGTAAACTAAAACCATGAATGAATTATGTACTGTTTCTTCAGAAAAGGAAGGTGGTAAGCTCGTATTTTAGGTAGTTGGCTTGTACCTTGACTCATCTATTTATCGGTTCTCCAAAGCTTTACAATCCCATAGACTTCCACCAGTTCTGGCTTCAAATCAGTGCACAAAGAAATTGCAACCAGAAACTTATATCTTGCCTTCAGAGTTATTTCCACAGACCACCAAGAGATGTAAGAGTTGTAGCCATAGAGCAGCACAATTCTGTTTACTCACCTTTGAGTAGTAGTTGGCAACTAATGGCTGTGAGCATTTTCCCAGAGCCATACCTATCGAGGATTGAAGGTATTAAAAATCTATTCCGTTCCATCTGCCTGAGAGTAGTTATGAACCACTTCCTTTTTTTTTTTGTTAGCTTCACTGAAAAGTGCTAGGTAAGTGTTCTTAATAATTAAGCACTGTGTAGAATCTTGTTTTAGTTTATTTTATTTTCAGTGCTTTGCTGAGTTGTTGAAAATGTTGAAGTGTTTTTTTGGAAGGTGGTGGTGGTGAGAGGGATAGTTATTTGATCTTTTATACAAGACACGGATGAAGAACTTTCTTTGTCAATTTTTCTTTCTTCCTTGAATAGGAATGAGAAGTCTTTTTTATGACTCAGTGAATGGATCTGAGTACTGTTGAAACCATTGCTTTGTAGTGGCACATTAGAAAAGTGTAGGAGAGGCTACTGTCATCCCTTACATGAACAGTGATAAGAACAAAAAATCCTAAAATACAATCTATATGAAAAGAGTACATGTCATCTGGTAGTGACATTTATTTTGAACCTGTTGTCATATTTTTAGACCGTAAGCCTCAGCTGATCCTTGTTCTGTCATTCCAGCTGCTATGTTTGCATCCTATACCAAGAGCTGCACCAAAGTAGCAATCTATCTGTGTTTGTGATAAAACTGCCTCCCTTTACCCAACTGTATTTAGCAGTTCTATCTCAGCACTATATCTTGTAGCCTAACATTCTTCAAATAGTGGGAAACATCTAGAAAACAGATCCAAACTAGAACTGTATTCAATTAAACTAATAATGATTGTAGTAATTGAATAGCTAAAAATAATAATAAAATAATAAAAACAACAATCCTAATATCTCCAATTCTGAACACACACACACACACACACACACACACACACACACACAAACCCCCCTCTATGAATTCCATATTACAATTGTCACTTACTGTCAAATTCTGTAATGATATATTACAAAAATCATGATGCTTGCTGCAAACTGTAAGTTACAGCCAGGATCCTTAGCTGTAGCAAATCCATACTTGTACAACTGCTTACTTTTGTTTAAGATGAGCACATACTTGATGCTGATCTTATTTCACAAAGAGTGTTAATAGCATTTTGAGTGAATTCAGGTTCCTAGTGCCAACTGAAAAACAATTCTAAAGTAAGGAAGGGGAAATCAATGGATATTAGCCATTTAAATTGCTTGATGAATAGGTTCTTGAGTCCAGCCAGAATCAAGAGAGATTTTCAAGCTTGTACTGAGTTGATGGATTTAAACTTGCACATTCACTGCTTTTAGAAAGTACTACAAAGTTATTTGGCTATAAATAACTATTTAAGTTAAATTTTAATTATAGGTTTAATTAAAATAAATAAATTGCCCTCTCTCAAAAAAAATAACATTCCTTGAACTGAAATGTGATTTCATTCGTGTTCTATACTTGCATACTTTTCACATGAAACAGCAAGTATAACTCGAGTCTGGAAGAGAAGTTGGTTCTGCAGATTATTCATCTTTCCTAAGAACTAATTTCATTTAAAAACATAAGCTTTAAAGAAATAACACCCAAAGGAAATACCAATCCATAGAGAATTCTCCACAGGATTTCAAAGCATGTTAGTGAAAATGATGCTATATAATGTCAATGGAAATGCCTGGTTTAATTGTCTTAAAAGTGTGAACCCTTTCTAAATAATTGAGAAATATTTTTTCTATGCCTTACAATAGCACAGCTACACTATTGTAAGATCTACACATACTATATCAAGTAGCATGAAGTAGTGAAGTACCTGTAAATGATACATGCAGTGTTCTGGCAAGTGCTGCAGTTGTTGAGGTCTTGGCCAGTGCGGTAGAAGTTGCGCCTGAAATGGACAATAGTTCATTCAATTCATAAAAATCTGTAAGCTGACAAGGTAGGACTCTTATCACAACATGCCATTCTCTGTGCATTTTTGTTATTTTAAACATAAATTAAGCAGCAAAATCTATTGTACCAGAGTCTGACTTTAAGCCAGTCAAAGAATACAGTATATTCATATTTCATCCTAACCTTCTGTCTTTAAACTTGCACTGTCATGACTACATTATATAAGATTCTCTGGAAGGCTGGCTACTCAATATAGCTATGAACTCTTCTAAGAACACTTTAGTTACAAGAAGGCATCTTTATGTAAAAACATTTGAAAGTATTTAAAAGGTCTATGCTCTCTGTATATGCAAACTTGCCTTTCCCTTTATTCCTTTTGCTATTTTTTTCTCACACATTCTTTTTTTTCCCTTTCAGACTGAAATTTTAAATGGCCCACAAAAGCAAATAAACATAATTACTTCCATCAAAAATAAGTTATTTTGTGGTTTCTTATTTCAACGTGTTCTTGCTGGGTGAAAATTTTTATATTTGCAAATTAAATTAAGGAAACAAATCTTTTTCTACCTGTCCTTACAAAATGAGCAAACTGGCATAGTTGTAGACTAGCTATCAGTGGATATGTTCATGGCCAGGCTAGAGTTCTTTCACAAATGACTTCAATCTTAGTAATGATATAGTAACACGAAGCAGGCAGCCCTGTTTAGTGGCCGTTTACGTCTGGAGGATCCAGTCCATTAAGTTTAATGCAGTTTAACTGAATAATGAGTTAATAAGGCCTAAAAGATGCCCTAAATTATGCTGTGATGGCTTTTCTGAGAGCTAATCTCTGACTATTCTTTTCAGTGGGGATGTATTGGAAAATAAACCTTGCCATTGTTCTCAAAACATGTACACATGTAGCTGTATTGCTAAAAAAAAATACCTTGCATCCATACAGTTTTACTATCATAGTCACTAAAGAATTCTGAAAGATGGTTTGAAGCTTGAACAGAGCCAGCTAAGAAACTCATAAGTATCCCAATCTTCAACAGTGCATTAACAGAATAAAAGTGAAGAAAGGACATATGGTTTGATGTATGTTTTAACTGACAGTGCTGCTGTTCTCTTGAATATTCAGATCTATAAATACCAGGAAGTTTGCTTTCATAAGTGATGGTCACTCTAATCCTGTTCAGTGTGATGAGAAAGGTTGGGCAGATGCTTCCTTAACCCTATGCGTCAGTATTTGGCATACAGCATGTTCATACAGCACGTTTCAACATCGGACCTTTATGGAGTCTTCTGAATTTTCAGGCTTTTATCAACTGAGGATAGATTGGTTTTGTAGTTTATAAATGTTTGTTTTTTTAATGTCAGGTTCATACCCATCTGTTTTTCATTTAGAGAAAATAGGATGGTATTGAAGGGCAGTAGGCTTATACAGTGGGATGATTTTGAAAGGCAGGAAAAAAACAATGAAAATGAATAAGGAATATATAAGCATGTTGGGTGCAGGATTAGGGAGTGAGGAGCAATTTGGAGTTATGGAATGTGGAGAAGTGCTTGAGTTAAGAATTTATCATTTAAAAAACTAACCTGATAAAGCGCATTGGAATTAATAAGTTAGAACATAGTATCTTCTTACAAAAATATTTACATGACTGTAATGATTAAAATAAATTATCCATGATTAAATGATTTTAAAAAGTTATTATATATTTACTTAATACATCAATTAAATCATATTAATATTGTGAATGGGAAGGTTTCAATACATATTTAGTGTGGTTTGAAAATTGGTTGTCAGAAATAGCTGAAATACACCAAGACAAATCCAACCCTCAGACTAAGCATTTTAGCTATGAATGGAAGACTTCTGCATGAGGAAGCCTGGCCCATCCACTGAGCAGGGGTGTTCAACCCTGTGGGCCAAATTGAGACCTGCGTGCCAGAACTGGGATCTGGGGCCTGGCACTGCCCCCTCCCAGCACTGTGTGCCAGGACTGGTTCTTGGGGGTGTGGCAGTGCCCCCTTCCACCTCAGCTCATGGGGTTTGGGGAGCCTGGTGCCACCCTGATCTGGCATCTCACACTGGGATTGGGCCCTGGAGCCTAACACAGCCCCTACCCAGCTCTGTGTGCTAATATCACCGCTGTCCCACCATCACATTTCCAAACCTCTGGGGAGCTCCGTTTTCTGGATGACATAGGACTGTGGGCCAGATCTGGCCCAGGTGCTGGGGGTTGAACACCCCTGATCTAGATAACATTTATAGGAATAGATTATTTAGCTCTATCTTGCACCACTCTTGTTCATTTTCTACATTTTTTTTTCCTTACAAGAATATGGATTCCAACTTCCATCCCAAATCTGGTCCCATCTTTTTGTGAAAGTTTATTTCTGCTGCTTTGGAATCTCTTAGTAATATGAAAGGTCCTGTAGGATTCACTCCTTAATTATAGCCAGAGATGAGAATTACATACTGTTGACATACAGGGTCTAATTTTAAAATATAGAATTTATTTGTGTATCCTCATCAATTATACCTATAAATAGTCCATTTTGGACAATTTCATTTTCATTTATCATTTTCATGTTGATTGAGGTAACTGAAAAAAATTGGGTGTGCAAGATAGTTGTTTTGTACGTGCTATTATTGCATTTAACCTTTATAAAATTAGACCTTATTTTTCATAGAAAGCAATTAGGTATGAATTATTTGTAACATTTTTAAACAATAGAAAACATATCAACCTGATTCATTATTATTTATTTCCTTACATAGCGCTATGACATTTTTAATGTGCAGATACAGTCTATTCTGAACCACTGCTTTAAGTTTGAGTATTAATAGGCCATTACAAACCCTGTAAAACAGTATAGAAGTAATTAACTATTTTAAGATGTTTACTTTGTGCCCAAAAGTTTGCCTAACATCTCCCCTAACTATGTAGTTGGTCCAGTAAAAGGTATCATGGGGAAAAAAAGTGGCTCATAACCACTCTCATACCATAAACATCCTTGCTTCTCACATTTCACCTTTGAGATACTAGTAATGGAAAGGGGCCTACTTCTGCATGCCTTTTAAAAGTCTTTTAGACAGGCTGTGCCATTTGGGCCAGGTACAGACATTACACTTTTAATGGTATAAGTGATTGGAAATTGGTCTATACTCGTAACAGAACAGAAGTTCAGCACATACAGACTGGTTTAAAAATGGCAGAACCCAATCTCAGATTTGCTCCCCCTACCAAAGGGTGAATGTGTGTACTGTATCAATATAAACTATGCCACTTATAGAAAACTGCATAACTGAGATCAGTTCCCCTCAGGCTTTTTTAATATCTGTACCTAGCTCTAAAGTCTAGTGCACATTTTAGATGCATAAATCACATGGCTGCAAGAGGGGCTAGTGATTTTGCTGAAACACATGAAGCATTACTACAGGCCATACATTTTTGCTTTATATGGGTCATTCTGGTATGAAGAACAGTTATTAAAACATTGGCTTGCTGTTCCTCAAACATTTTCTAGTTAATAATTTTCACATGTTGTTTTACTGCATTTGCATGGTTCTAAATTTTCAGGCACCTGGTCAAAATGTAAAAATGTTTAGAGTACAAGTGATAGAAATGTACTTTGTTGTCCTGCTAGTGTGTCTTTTTCTTGTTCTTAAGTCACCACTCTTAAATTGGTAACCGTTTTTGTTGCTATTGTTTTCTTGGTTAATGGGATTAATAAAATGTGACCCACATAACTGTCCTGGCAGAAATCCCTCATGTAGATGTAGTGCTTTGGCCAATAACTTATTTTGCTCAGGAAGGAAGGCCTGGAATGCAGAACCGTTTTTTGTTAAAATAAACTGCATTGATATTAGGTACACTTAGCCAGTGTAAAATTCTGGTACGGCTAAACTGCCATAGACTTGACTGTAGTAGTGAGACAAAAGCTCTGTTGTAATGGTGTCTGATATCCACTGTTAGTGCCTTATGCATTTGTGTGAGACAGCCTATAACTGAATTGAGACCAGCTTATAAAAGTCATGTGCTAATATACTTATGACACCATAACCTGAGTCAAGATATGAATTGATAAATATATAAACCCTAATTCAACCAACATTCAGTATCAAGTAAAGCTGAACTAGGAAGGCATCTGTTTTTGTCTATAATGGCTCAAGTACCAGATATTGTAGATAAGATATGGATTTCCAAACTCTTTTTTAAATATTTCAAAGAGAGATTTTTGATAGCAAAGGTTAAAAGAAAGCAAACAGCTACTTTTGATAAATTACTTAGTAAAATAGCTTTTTAATATTAAAATACACCATACCCTTCACTGAGGGCTCTGGCTTTTTCCAGGTCTTGAATTACATTCAAGAGGACTTTAATCTTCTCCTGGTTTGACTGCAAAGATTCTTCTACGGACTGCAGCCTGCCTTGTAGGGCACATAATTCACCATGTGCCAAGTGAATTTGATTTATTTCTCTAATCTCTTTGTTAGTTTGTGGTTTTATTTCACTCCTTGGAAGATAGGACTTTATGTGAAAACTTCCTAAACAATCATTATACTCTGGTACATCTGACTGTGTAGAACTTTTCTCAGTTTCAGTTTGATATGAAGGAACAGATTTTGACACGCTACTTCTGGACAATGACATTACTGCCTGATCATCATTAGTCAGTGTCATACAGTCAGAATCTGTTTCAGGCAGTGCAAGCTGCTGATGGTCTCTGGGGAAACAGTATGATGAACTGTGATTCGATGGAGGTGATAATGGAGTAGTGCTGGAGTCTTCATTTGATCCAAGTAACTCAGAATCACTTTTATCTGCTTCACAAGAATCAGGCTGTGCATTAACTTCATTGCAGTTACTTGTATTGACCAAGCAGGAGTAAGATCTTTTTGAATTTGATGGCTGCATAGAACTTTCATTCAATTGTTTCATTGCAGTAGAAGAATGTGCTGAGTCACTTAAATCCATAGGCATGTCCACAGTATAAATGGAAGCATTATTGGCCTGTGGAGAACTCATATGTATGTATTCAGGCACCTGGGTAGAAACAGTTGCCTTTTCCAGTACTGAGAAAGCATCTGAGTCCAGGTGGATGGGTCCATTGCTTTGTGCTTTAGGCACTCCTTGACATACTTGATTGGTTATTTGGTCTCTCTTAGACCCATCTTCTAAATGTTTAGTTATCCTTAAATAAGAAAAGTGTGAGGACATGAGATCCTGTTCAGAAAGATTGCCATTAACATGGACAGTGCTTTCAGGCTCAGTTGGCATTTCTGTTAAAGACTTGCTTGTTGTCAGTTTTTTCCTCCTAAAAACTGGGAAGTGTTTCCTGAGGCTAGGAGAAGTCTGAATAGCAATGTTCCGAAGCCCCTTTGGAGCCCTTGGAAAAGCAAGGGGGTAGTTTGGCAAGTTCTGGTGCCTAGATGTTTGTGCCTTTCCAGTCACAAATGCTATGTCTTTGGGAGGCTCGATGTCCAAATCAGTGACACCCACTGGCTTTTTGTTTATACCATCATCTTGGAATCGAACTTGCTGAGATTTGATTCTGCGGTGGTGTGGCTGCCTCATGAAATCAACAGAATCTAGGCTGTTCCGTTTCAATAGCACAGGACGTACTTTTATGTTTTGCTGGGCCATTGAATCGCAGTTTAAGGTCTGCAAGTAACGCGCTTCTTTGCGACCCATTTCATTAGGTCATTCCAAAAGCACCTGGTGGTTATACCCCAGATCCAAATGACAATTTTAAGTGTTACTTTTTAACTGTGTTCCTTTTGCTGCTTGTTAGCATTTGTGTTTCTTAGCTGGTGTATTTTGTTTGGGAAATTCTTTTCAATTTTCCCTTATAGCTTTAAATATTATTTTATTAGAAAGATAGCTAGCTAGTTAGACACAACAACAAGATGAACTAATAATTTAATCCTGAATCCAAGGAGTAAATTATAAAGGAGATAATTTGGAAACCTCAATGTTTACATTTTGAAACATTGTTGTTTAATGTGTAACAAAAGTATAAATTACAGTAGAATAAGGTATATTTACTCCTAACTAATGTAATGTAAAGATAAATATTAATACTGCTTTTCTAATGCCCCATTTGTTGACAGTTAGCCCTTCAGAAATCCGGTGTTGAACCGTAGACCTGTTAAATATTTCTTCTTTTTATAGAATATATAATAACTGGCTTGGGTACTAGCATTTTTGATGCATAATATTCCTGTAGGAACATATCCATTAATATTAAACTGAAATTAATCTTTCAGAGATGCTTTCTCTTCTTGTCCCATCCTTTTACTTCAGCAGCTGAAACTAATCTTCTTAAAAAGCCAAACAAAAATCAGTGGCTTGTGACTGAGAAAAGTATAGCATCCAAAAGGACTCTGTGAAAGCAGTTATTGATGTATGGTCCTTACTTTCTAGTTCATCCAAGTACAAGGCTAAGCATGTCTGAAGGACTGTTGTTTGAGTGAAATCTATAAATACTTTGGCATCAGCGGAGTAGTCCAGACCACCTAGTCAGCATTTGCAGAATAGCAGATATTTTTCTGAAAATAAAAAGACAACAGTTGCAGTTGAACAGTCTGAATGAACACTCTTTTCCCCTCCTGCTGTCTTTCTCTCAATATTTTCCACTTGCAATGCTTGGGGGCCCCCCATAGTAGGATGCCTGAAATGGAAACTGAAAAATAATATTTTGTGATATGAAGTTCATAAATGTTTCCTTGGAATGTAATACAAGAAAATATATTTTCAGAATAATAATTCAAGGAAATTGAGGTTTCTTTTGGTCATACTACATAATGTTGGGTGTGGATCTGAATCCAATAAGGACCCCAGAATCTACAAAGAAATCCAGTTCCAGAGCTGTAAATGGGTACTGGAATCGGTTATGTTTATAATGGCCAGAAGCTGATTAATACATGTAAGAACTTTGGGCAAGTTGGTTCAAATAGAATTATGAATGTTTATTTTGCAGTAGGTATCATCAAAAACACATATGCAACCATCTGTGAGATTTGTGGGGTCTACCAGTAGGAATGGGTCAATCCTATGTTCTATTTTTCTTTAAAATGACAAATAATAGTTTGTCAAATAATAAAATATATTTTACATTACTGTGGGCTCCTGAAATCATGCACTGGCATGCTGTAAAATCTTAGGTCTTCATGAATGCTTATAACGTGCTCCTTGCAAGTAGTTTCCCTAAAGCTATCTGCTGTATAAAGCTGGTTTATCGCTCATATTCCAAATATTTAAAAAAAACCCTTAAAAACATTTTGGTTAGACAGTGAAACTGACTTCTCTGAAAAAACCATCAGGACAACAGAATAGTAATCAGCAAAAAACAGTATATATGTTAAAAACAGAAATAGCAGTTCAGTACTTACAAAAAATAGGGAAAACCCCCTTTTTTCTATAGCCATCTGCTATCAAATGAATTTACTTTTGCATTTTGATAATTAATCTATTCTGTATTTCTAGGACAGGGGTGGCCAAAATATGGCCCACCGACCAAATCTGGCCTGCCAACTGATTGGATCTGGCCCATGAACAGGCACCTGCCAGTTGATTGGATCCACCAGGAAGCAGTGTTCCCTCTAAGCTGCACAGCGTGTGCGGCTGTGCAGGCACTCCTGATAGTGCGGCATGAGCATGCCTGTGCAGCTGCGCAGCTTAGAGGGAATGCTGCCAGGAAGCACGCTGGCTGGGGCCAGGGCTGGCAGGTGCAGGCAGGAGTGTGGGAGTGCCCAGCCCCATGTGGAGCACCACCGGCGCAGCTGTGGGCTGGATGTGAGGGGTGGGCTGCACACACTCTGTGACCCTCACCCTTCCTCCCCCCACCCTTGGCCAGCTCCTGGGACCTAGTGCAAGGTCAGCCCTCCCCACACACATGCACACCCCCACACACAATTTACAAGAGTAAGTCTTTATTTTGAGTTATTATGTAATCACTTCTATATACATTATTCAAAAATTTGGGACCAAAATTATTTTTGGAAATAAATGTAAATGTCTTATAACAAGTGTTTTGATTGTTAGTATACGACTTTTTTGTCTATAATTTGTGAAAATGATATTATCTAAAAGATTTTGTGTGTCGGCCTTGACAGCACACCAAAAATCATTAAGTGACCCACCAGCTAACATAATTGCTCACCTCTGTTAAATAATCAAAAACATTCCAAGGTTGGCATAACCATCTTTGACAGGTGTAGTCAATTTTATAATAAAAATTAACCATGAACAACATTCTCCCTATTCTCCTACTCCTCCAGCCCAACATTGTAAGCTTGGCACAAAACTACCATTTTCTTATCATTTACCACATAATACGTATTTTATGCTCCTTTTCTAATAAGATTTTTTTTCTCAATGACCAGTTAAAAATATGTTGGCGTGCAAGCTGTCAGAGATGAAATTACATGTGCAGGGTACTGGGTTCATGATAGTGGTATTGTGCTTAATCTTGGCATCCAGTTCATTTTGTATCTGTCCACCTACATAGTCAGCAAATTTCAGATGTCAAGAAGATTGTTTCATAGTTTCTAGGGTCGGAAGGGACCTGAGCAGATCATCAAGTCCGACCCCCTGCCCTGGGCAGGAACGAGTGCTGGGATCATAATACCCCAGCCAGATATCTATCCAACCTCCTCTTGAAAACCCCCAAGGTAGGGGAGAGCACCACCTCTCTTGGGGCCCATTCCAGAGCCTGGCAGCCTTAACCGTGAAGTAATGCCTCCTGATATCAAGCCTGAACCTACTCTCAATCAATTTGTGGCTGTTATTCCTTGTTATCCCAGGGGGGGCCTGGGGGAATAGATCCTCACCTGTTTTCTGCTGGTCCCCCCTGGTGAGTTTATAGATGGCCACCAGACCCCCTCTCAGTCTTCTCTTGTGGAGGCTGAATAGATTCAGGCCCTTTAGTCAATTTTCATAGGGCATGGCCGGCTGCCTCCTGACCATGCAAGTAGCCCTCCTCTGGACCCTCTCACAGTTAGCCACATCACTCTTGAAGTGCAGTGCCCTCACCTGGATGCAGTACTCCAATTGTGGCCTGACCAGCATCGCATAGGGGGGAAGGATCACCTCCCTGGACCTGCTTGTGATGCATCTGTAGATGCATGACAAGGTGCGGTTAGCTTTACTGACTGCTTCCTTGCATTGGCAGCTCATGTCCATCTTGGAGTCAACAATGACTCCAAGATCCGTTTCAGCTACTGTATTGTTGAGAACAGAGTTCCCCAGCCTATACGTATGCTGCAGGTTCCTTCTCCCTAGATGCAGCACCTCGCACTTGTCTGTGTTGAATTCCATTCTATTCTCATCTGCTCACCTCTGTAACCTGTCTAGATCTAGCTAGATACTGTCCCTCCCCCTCCAGTGTGCCCACTTCTCTCCACATCTTTGTGTCATCAATTAATTTGGATAGCGTGCTTTCCATGCCCACCTCCAAGTCACTGATAAAGATGTTGAATAGCACAGGCCCAAGGACCGAGCCGTGGGGAACTCCACTGCCCACATCCCTCCAGATCAAAAACAACCCATCCACCACCACTCTCTGGGTGCGACCATCAAGCCAATTTGCTACCCATCTGACTGTGTAGGCATCAATGCTACAGTCGCCTTGGTTTTTTTTGAGTATGGGGTGAGAAACAGTGTCAAAGGCATGAGAGCTCAATTGACATGAGAGCTTTATTATATTCTTCTCTTAGATGCTAATTTATTTCTTCTTCTCTGCAAATGAGAACATAAATATCAACCAGTTGCTGTTCAAATTGTTCCTATACCTCTCTGCAAATGAGTATTCAATATGAGCTATGAATATTAATCAAATATGAGCATATTTGACCTTGACCTATGATTCCATATCCTGTTAAAATGTTAGTAGAAGATATGATAACATATGCTGAGAAACTCATTTAAAGGAAACTTTTAAGAAGGCTAGTGCCCAGTTGTACTTTTGTGGACACAGCTATTGCTTTCAAAACTGGCAGTGCTAAAAAAAAAGCATACTATTGTACTTCAACATTTCATTCATGGTAATAATTCTATGTTGGAGGTATACATATTCAGAATGTGTTTGAAAATAAGAAGCCAATGCAGGTTTTGCCTTTAATTTTTCTGTATTTTGGTTTGGACATCTGTAAAATGAAAATAAAAATACCTGCATAGAAGTATGAGGTTAACATTCATATATTAATATAATGTAGCATAAAGTATATGAGAAAGATGCGGGTGCTTAATATCAACTGATTGCAGTTACTATTTTACAAATAATCATTATTTTTTTTAGGCCATGGGTCTACACAATTTGTAAAACAATATAGAGCTATAGAGTATAAACATATGTTACTGAGGGATCTTGTGATCCCATATGATGGATAGTCGCATATGATGTAGTATGCAACCTTACTGAAGTAATCTTGTTTCTGGTAGGATTTTATCTCATACTTGCTTCTTTTGATACATTTTTATTTAATGGCCATTATGGTAAAACATAATGTGTAAAGAAAACAGCTTCTGGATATCTGTGTGAATTGCCACATACGTTTTGTAGATGCCAGTGTGGTAAATTGCATTGAACGTGTGCCTTTGACCTAGTCAGACTACATGCCATCTCTTAACTTGAGAATCTTCCCCACCATTTGATCTTCAAGACAGATGTTTTTACTTACAGTAAAAACTTTTCTTCTGTTCTTCAGAGTGTGAATTTAAATGCAGTGCTTATTTAGACTGCAGTTCTGCTTGCTGAGTGTAAGTGCATGAGAACTGCTGAATGAGTGCAACAAGGTGTAAACTGTGTCAAATGGAAGAAAACCCTGACTATAAGACAACGCAAGATGTGGGCAGTGGTGTCCCACAGGGGTTGGTGCTTAGGTCCAGTACTTTTCAACATCTTTATTAATGATTTGGGTGTGGGGGTGAAGAGCTCACTGGCCAAGTTCACAGGTGACACCAAGTTTGGGAAAGCGTGGTGACGCTTGAAGATAGGCTACAGGTACAGGCAGACCTAGGCAGGGTAGCAAGTTGGGTGGATCGTAATCTGATGAAGTTCAACATTGAGAAATGTAAAGTGCTCCACTTCAGGATGAGCAACCTCCAACACACCTACAGGCTCTGCAGCACCAAACTGACTAGTTCCATGAATGAAAAGTACCTGGGGGTAATAAAGACCACAGTATGAATAAGAGCTGGCAGTGCAAGGCTGTAGCCAGTAGGGCAAATGATACTCTGGTATGCATCAATTGATGCATCTCCAGCAAAACCAAGGAGGTGATTCTTCCGCTCTAGTCAACACTGGTGAGACCGCAGCTGGAGTACTACATCCAGTTCCGGGCACCACACTTTAACAAGGATGTGGACAAGCTTGAGAAAGTCCAAAGAAGAGCCACCCATATGATCAGAGTCTTACACAGAAAGCCATATGAGGAAAGGCTGAGCAATCTGGGACTCTTCATCCTGAAGATAAGAAGGCTGAGAGGGGACCTGGTAGCTGCTTATTGCTACACTAGGGAAATACATCAAGGGCTTCGTGAGCAACTGT